TCACAACTATAGATACCTTTCATTCAACTTGACAACAATAGTCATCTTGATACTTTAAATCAACTTAATGCAACTTAACAACTTTAAACAACTTTACAACAATAATCTACTTCAACTTATACATCTCGAATTATTAATAATTCAACGATAGGCAACATGTAAACAACTTAGTTTCATCAACTACACAACATATAAACAACTTAAGCCAACAACTACTCAACTCATCTTCATCAGGCAACTTAACAACTTTACAACCTTATAAGTAACTTCAACAATATACAAAATATTCGACACAAATTACAAATCAACCAACATATTTAAAGTTCATCTATCATTCCCAATGTAAACAACATAAATCAACTTAAGCACCCAACAACTCAACCATTTCAACAAAAAAAAACACAATGCATAAAGCTTCCCTAACCTGAAGATTGGCTTAGAAATAGCCAAGAACTGAGAAAAAGCGGAATTTCCTTCCAAAGCTCAACCCGGGAACTTCAATCTTCCAAAAGAAAGCTTCATAGTCTATAGTTTCTCTCTTTAAACTTCTCTCTAATTTCCCCTTTTCTTCTCTTCTCCTCAACTGCACGATTATGGCTTATTTATAGAAGTCTGGAGTGGGCAGAACGACTCGCTTCGAATCCGGAACGGCCCATTCTACACCTCTTCATCATGTGTAAAACTCACATGCAGAATGTCCCATTCTGAAACTAGAACGGCCCGTTTTGGAGTTAAGTTTAACTCACAACGACCATGTTTGGAACGACCCATTCTCAACTAGGATTTGTAGGCCTATTTAGTAGTTTGCAACGGCCCGTTCTGGGCTACTAAATCACCCTTGTTTTAGTAGTTTGGAACGACCCGTTCTGGGCTACTAACTATGTTACACATCATACACACACACACATATTCAGCATCCAAAATCATATATATATATATATATATATCAAAATCTCGCTCTCTATCTCTGTTTCTAACATTTTATCTTTTAATTATTTTTCTGCATTTTTTCATTATCACTTTGGTTTTCCTTTTAATTTTGCAGGATAGAATTGTTTTCTAAATTAGTTGCCATCTTGCGCTGATTGCGGTTAGTAGATTACAACCAAAACGAGAAAATGGAATCCTATTCCCAACTCTTTCAGTAGCATTGACAAAGAATAAACATTATCTAAAGATTATTTATGAATAAGAGTTTGGATAAATTCTTTTAAAAATACTTTAGGAAACAAAAACAATAAGAAAAAAATAATGAACTTCTGTGAAAACTAAAAATAGTTTTTATATAAACTAAAACTTCTTTCTATTAAATCCTCCAAAATCTTAATTCTAACTTATATATAATCTAGTTTAACCACTAGGTTAATCTAGTGGTTGGGTAGAGAAGAGTTGAAGTAGTTAAAAGCATGAGGACCTATGTACAATTCTCGTTGCGACCATCTTTGTAATCTTTTCTATCTTTATCAAAAAAAAAAAAAACTAGTTTAAACTTAATAAATAAATAAAAACTCATATCAATCTTTTTTTCTTATTTTTTCATCAAAATATTTTTGGAGAAATTTCTCTAAAGTCTTTGGTGATGTGTTTCTTACACTGTTTAAGAAATAGTCGTGTTTCAAACCCATGACTTCCTTCACCGAAAGAAAGTTCAAAGTGCTATAAAACATATAGCTATATAGTCTTTGCGTGTAATGGTCCCCTAAGATGGAGTCAAAATACATGTGAAAGGATGGACATGAGTGGGCACATTAAAGTAACCAAAAAGAAGGGGAAAATTTTGTGTCGGATTATTTTTATAACTTTACCTTTAATTTATCTTCCAAGTGAAAATTCACAATGAGATAATGATTTGTGTTATTTAGAGCAAAAATATTTTCATCAGATCGAGTGTATTATCCATTACCCCTACCCCATAAATATTTTGTAAAATTCTCATTACCCTACATAAAAATTATAGTTTAATTTGTGAATGTATCTTTAACCTAGTTTTGACTTTTATAACTTCGTTATCAAGAAGGTTTTACATTGCAGTTCTAGTTGCATCTTTGTCGCAATCTGATATTGTAATTATGGACAAATATAATTAGACAATGAAGCTTGTATAATTTCATTATAAAAAAATTTTATATCATCATTTAATTACAAATTATTACGAATGATAAATTTGTTAATTTTTATACTAATTATCTTGTATTGATATGTTATAAAATCTCACATCATTTAAGACTTGAAGGCAAAAAATTATTTATAAATACCCTCTTTCATTAACTTATGAAAATTTAAAAAAAAAAAACAAAACAAAACTTTGATACTCCAATTAACATCAAATTTCACAACATTTCAAATGTAGTGATTAATGATACAAATGATACGGACAAATTTTAAGGTTGAAAGATACTTTAAAAGTTTTACTAATGATAATTTTTTTATTGACCAACAGAAAATATGAACATACTGTTCGCTAAAGAAACAAAACGGTGATGGTTGAAGGTCATAAAGTTTCTTCTTAATTTAAGAATAATTGATTTCAAAATATGAGAAAATAAAAGTTTATTTTTCTTCTCTCATGCTTAGGTATTTGTATTATATAGTAGGAAAAAAGGCATTTTAAAAATTAAAGACAGATAATTTAAGAGTGATTGTAGGTGGTTATAATTATGAGAAGCTTCTTTTTAGAGATATAATAGTTTATTAAAAGTGGAGACCAAAAATAGTTATATTTCTGTTTATCTTCTTTATAATTTATATTAGTAAGATTGAGACACTTTATATTTTTATTAAAAATAAAATAAAAGATGAGATTAAGTAATAAAAATATATTAGTTCAACAAGTGTTATGATTAGTCCTTGAACCTCAAGGTAATTAATTTGATAAAAACATTAGTATTTTTAATTTTTTAATAATAAAAGAGTATAATATCTATCAAATATGGAGAACAAGGAGTTATTAAAAAGGATATTTTTTTATATATATTAATATAAATAATATATTTGTATAGATGTATAAATGTATAGATATATATTGATTTATGGTTGAAATAGAATTTTGGTTCCCTATTTGTTTATTATTTTTCAATTTAGCCTTCTAAGTTTTGAAAGGTTTTACTTTAGTTTCTTAAAAATATATATGTTAGATTAAGTTAATCTTTCATTCAATTTATCTAAGTAATTTGATTAATTTAGTGATACATGATAAGTTATGAAAAAGTTATATCAACAAAAATTGATATCGTTATTGCAAAAAACTGACAAAATTAATTTGACTAGGAAAAACATTTTAAGGGATCAAAGTAAATTTTTTTTTTAATTTAGATCAAATTGAAACATAAAGTAAAAATAGGAAACAAAACTCTATGTTATCCGTAGAATAAGTTTGACCAAAGATTTTGTCATTTTTTCTAACAGGAAAACGAGGGTAGGAGTCAAAAAAAGAAAGCAAAAGGAAAAAAAGCACAGACCTAGTCAAGATTAGCAGCTGATCTGAATATAACTTTGCAAGAAAGATGCTTCCACTTCTATGGTTTTATAGTTACTCAGCTGACAGCACCAAATGGAGCATCTTTTTCCCAATTCAGAGGCAAGTTCAATTAGGGACCAACTTTGATATGACAAGAACTCAAAATGCTAGAGTGAGAATAGAGGCTATGGTACCAAAGCATGGTGTGTAGGCTATGGCACCATAGTGGTCCTCAATAATGGAAGTATGCTAAAGGATAGTACAAGATGACATAAGGAAGAGCTGAAATACAATGTTTATTAAAGGGTGAATTGGGATAGTGACAAATGCTCTTTTAAGTAAAGATGAAAAAAAAGAAAAGAAAGTAGAAGTTTCAGAGACAAGGCTGATATTAGTCTTTAAGGCTATGGACTTTGAATGAACTAGTCATTATTTTGAACCCAACACAACTGGGATAGTTTAGGTTAGCTACTCAGGAATGGTAAGCTATACATACTGGTCCCTTCAATCCCACCAAGCATGGAACTTTTATTCCCATAACATGCAAACTGCAAAAGAAAATTGCCATACATAATTTTTGTTTGATCTCTAATCAATGGAGCCAAACACGAAGTTCTCCGTTAACATAATTCCAAATCAATTAAATTTTTTTTTAAAATGACGTTTTGGTCATGTGAGATTAAGAGCTTATTTGAATATAAGTTAGAAATATTTTTAAAAATTTGTCTACTGAAAATAAAGAATATTTTAAATAGAAAAATTCTTAAAAAATACTTATAAATTTGTATTCAAACATATTCTAATTCATTGTGAATTCAGGACCCACCTATTTTATCCGTTCTACTGATTATATACCTGTTTTTTGCCTTTTCGGTTTCTTGGAACTTATTATTCATTCCAAATAAATTTAGATTACAATGGATCATATTTATATTTTAAAGTATATTGATTGGATGGTATTATAAAAGGAGAACAAAATCAGCATTAAGAGACTATTTAAATAAACTTCTTTATAAATACTTTTAGAAAAAGAAAATAAGAAATAAAAATAAAATAAATTTATGCAAAAGTTAAAATAAACTTATGCATAAACTAATTTATAAAATTCTCTGCTTCTCTATAAATTATTTTTAACTTGTAAATAAATTAATTTTAACTTAAAAAAGATATATATATATATATATATATATATATATATTTTTTTTTTTATTATTTTTTTTTTCTGCTCGTAAGAATGCTTATGGATAAATTTATCTAAACAGGTATTAGATTATTTAACTTTCTACTATGTATTAACAAAATAATTGATAGATATTCAGATCCCATTAGCATATTAAGTAGGGTATAATTCCCAACACGTATGAAAAATACTTTGTTGGGAGAAGCAAGTTAACTTCCTCTGAAATCTTTAACTATGGCCATACTCGAGATATACCAAATGATTGTTTGGTCTTTTTCCTTCAAATCTGCAAACCAAGAATTCTTGGCTGTCTTGGAAGCTGGTGCATAATTCAAGGCTATCCGAAGTCATTCTACCAACTGATAGCTTATAATTCAGTCGTATGTGCTTATGTGTATTAGTATTGAGAAGAAAACTACGCACAATGTTTACAACTCAGAGATGTTATGAGTTTTAACACAAGTTTAATTGAATCAGCACATATCAGAACTTCAAAGACAGTGTGTGAATTATTTGCAATGAATAATCAGTATATGAATTGAGACACTTTCATTATATACAATTCAGACAGCAATTTGCAAATAAATGAGACATTGCTAAGGAATGTAATACATGGGATTTGGAAGCTTGAAGGACCGAACGGATACTGAAGAACCTAATAAATCGCTCCACTGGTCACCTGAATTTCCAAGAATTCTGTATCCATCTTTCTCCATGTCACTCCTCTTCTCTGATTTGTAGAGTATAGCCCGTTTCCCTTGATCATCTGGGGTTCTGAACAGAGTAAAATAACAGATTCAGAAAAATCAGCATAAAATAGAAGTGACTTCAGAGAGCAAAATTCAAGAATAGTGATACTAAAATAGTATATGATTACATGTACAAAGAAAACACTGGCAGATACAGCACAAAAAGGAAGAGTAAATAGCAAAAGGGTAAATTAATTTGGTTGAACAAATCAAAATTAATGACTCAAAATGATGATAACAGAGATGTTAGATTCTTTAAACATAAACAACCACAAACCATAGGGCTACAACCAGGCACACTTGACTAGTGCCAAGATATGAAGAACAAGATATGAATACAAATGGACTTTAATGTAGTTGTCACCGGTAATAAGTAGACAACCATCTAAGTACATTGCCTTGTGTTAGTGTACCCTACAAACGGACTTTAATGTAGTTAGCATGTTATATAGAAGATTAAATTGCACTTTCATCCATCAACAATTTTAGTCCCTCAATCTTGAAATAGAGATATTTAATCCTTTTAATTTTAAAAAATACGAAATTTTAGTCCTTATATCATATTCACATCCATTAATCATTAAGTTTTATTGTTTACTTATATTTAAATAATGTGACATTTAATAACATAATATTTGGAGATTAAAAAACCATTCAAATAAGATTTACTAATAAAATAAACACTAATCACTCGTTAAAATAGATATAAGTGAAGATCTTTTATGTGTAATTTTTTAATTTTTATCATTACATATCATGTCATTTAAGTGATGTCATGTCATCAAACAATGTCAAAATTTAATGATTAATAAATTAACTCAATCCTATGATCAAGAAACATGGCTGATTTGTATTGTCAGCATCCTGGCCCAAAAAGCATGATGTGGATATAATTCTATTGTACAAAAAAAAAAATATGCAGACAACAGATAGAATGTGATATAATATGGCTAGGCTAGGACACAAATTTGTTGTCCTTAAAATAATTGAGACTATATATCCTTAAAATTAATTGATAAACTTTAACATTGGTTCCCGAAATATATTTAGAGAAATATATGATCATCTAACTCAAAAATAATAGTCATTCAATAGCTTTCTGAAAAGTCATCCAACAACAGCATCTATTCATTAACAAGATGCGCCAATTTTATTCTGACATGGTGTTGTTCACTTGGATTTTGTATGGTGTACAAGAAACTAAAAACGATACCTACCATTAACACTGTAGAAAAACTATCTGCATTGAAACTAAGGAAAACCATGATAAGGAAGTAGCATGAAAATTTTCAAATTACTGTATACAGTAACAACTACAAAAGCCTTTTCTTGCTAGCTTAGGATCAGCTCAGATTCGTGAACGAGACAACATTGCTTTAGTTTTATCCATGGTGATATAAATAGCATTAAACATGATAGGACACAGAACAGTTGCAGAGACCCTATATTCATAATTAATAAACTATTAAACCATAAAAGGAAATGGTAATATTGTGTAATCGTTTCAGGTTATTCTGAGCTTAAATATGCGAGACACAAAACAAAATTTATCCGCATCACAAAAAGTATTAAATTATGGCAATCATTTAACACAGAACTGTTGCAGAACATACACATATATTCCAATCTTTCAGCATTTATTTTATAAAAACTTCATTTGCTGTCCAAAAGTTAGCAAATACGTTTTAGGAATTACCTTAATATGAGCTGGTGCCAATCCTTAAACCCAGCATTGATCAAATTATCCACAGTAACACTCCTGTGCCTTTCACTCCGCCCAGTCAGTAGTATAACCTTGAATCCCAAATTCAAAACATCTTCATAGAGCTTTAAACTGGGTTCAATGGCCGGGGCTAAACCCTGTTCCACCCAATCATTAAACTTCTCGTGATCAAAAACTTCTAACCTGCAAGCACATGCAAACAAACGTTAATGCTAGGAAGAAAGAGAAATAACTCAATTTAGCATGATATTGATATATATAGAACAATACACCATGTTCATTCCTTAAGGGAATATTTACAGGAAGGAAAAAAAAAATGCACACCTGATTAACCCCTCCAAAAGATCACTACAGAACTTTTAGCTTAAAACCTATTTTGGTATTAAAATTAAACTCTAATTCAACTCCAACGCTATACAAACAGAACTAGACTCCATTTTGGGTGGATGAAAGGAGAGAGAAAAGAGCGAGAAAAACATGTGATAACCCAATAGAAAAAAGGGAAAATTGCATTGAATTCCTCTCGGTTCTTCTTAAATGACACTCATCTCCACTCAAATTTTCAAATGAACATTAAGCTTCCTTAGTATAAGATAACATTATTTGTACATTCTTAAAAGTAAACAAATTATTAATACAATGTCAGCAATTAAATAAGACTTAATCTTTTACGCATTTTTAATTCTCAAGTTATATCTTAAATATCATATGTGTTGTTATTTAAAAAATATACTAACTTCAAGAAATAATTTCAAAGAACAGACTCATAAGATATAATTTCAAAATTCAAGAACACCGAAAATTACCATAACGATAAAGCACTGTACATAACACAAACATATTTCTACATGGGGTCTAAATCTTGAATGTTTTGCTTTTGATTATCTCTCAGAAGATTTTATACTAATAAAAACCATATATACTATATAAAACATTTATTTCTTTTCATGATGTAAAGATATAAAACTTTGTTTGTCCGGTACGTATAATTCAGAAATGAGTATATAATTTTTAGAATATGAATTGATTTTTTTTTTTTTTTTTTTTTTAAAATTTTTTCTCCTTATTCTCAAAATTTAACAAACAACAATATTGTAATATTGAAAGATAGGTGTGTGTGAGATTAAAAAAAATGACCCGTATCCGTGCGCTGCATAATAGGGGAGATTGGAGAGGAGCGTCTCATCGACGTCGAAAATCCAGGCGTCCTTTCCGTCTGCAGCCAGCTCCACACTCTTGGCGAACTCCCCAGCCTCCTTAGAGACCATTTCCAGATCCGCCACGTACCCCTTCCCCCTCATGTACTCCTTCACGTACTCCGCGCTCTTCCACGCGCCCAGGTTGTTCGCCTCCCCCGCCACGCGCCACGCGCCGCACCCAAGCCGCACCTCCTCCGCCGCCTCCGAGCAATCCTCGTGGGCGAGGGAAAACGAGAAGAAGAAGAAGAGAGAAAGGAAGAAAAAGAAACGAATCATGTGTGCGGTGTTTGTTTGTTCCCCCCCTCCTGAGCGATGAGCGAGGGAGGGGAAATGTAATGTAATGTAAGGATGGAAGAATATGAAAATGAGAATGGAGAGAAAGAAAAAATGCGTTTCTGCGTGTAACAGTAACCTTGGGTTTTGTATGTTTGGGACGTGACGGAGTTTTGGAATATTCCGTCCGTTTGGTTGGACGGTGGCGTTTGGGGAAAAGGGATTCGTGTCGTGACGTGGCAGTGGGACCCACTTCGATGGGGTCGTGGCTGACGCGGTTTCACTCTTCTCCGCCAATCAGATCTTACTTTATACACACACCACCCCCCAAACTCATTACTCATTACAAATTTTAATGTTATAAAAACCCTCCAATTAAATATTATTATACGATCATATGCGTTTTTCTTGTTTCTAATTCTGAAATTTTAATGGACCTCTTTGGTTTTTTAATTTTTAATTAAGTAATTTTACTTGATTTTAGTTTTTTAAATATAATAATAATATAAATTTTTATTTATTTAAATTGTATATATTTAATAATTTTAATAATAATGATTATATTATTTAATATAAGATAAAAATTATGATATGTGTCTCTAAATAGGTCAAAAATTATATAATTATAATATTTAAATGATTAAAATTGTACAATTATAATGTTTGAGAGTTTAAAACTGTTTAACTAAAATTTAGAAAATTAAAATTATATAATTATAATATTTAAAGAATAAAATTATTTAATTAGAATATTATAGATCAAAATAGCACAAGTGTAATACTAAAATAATAAAAATGCAATTAAACTAATATTATATTATATTTAATATAGACACAGATAATATTTCGTAATTTAAGACTATCAAGTGTTTATGATTAAATTTATGAAAAAAAAAATTTGTCTATAAACATAACTTATATAATATATAATCAAATATTAATCTATATTTATAAAATGTGATTTTGGTTGAATAAATATTATTTATACATTTGAGTTTTAAATTTATAAGAAAATTTTAACATCATATAAATACTAGCTATTAGTTAAAAACAACGTAATCTAATATCACTTAATAATTTCTCTAAATACATGCATACAAATTGTAGGAAAACGATATTTATACATTTATGGACTTATGTGAATGTCTCCATGGATATTAAAAAAAAAATGATACAATTATGTCCCGTCATGTGAAGTTGAGATAATTTTTTACCATCGCGCAGTTGTACACGACTATACAAATAAATTATTTGCTACATTTTACGTGTAATATTTATATTTATTTTAACGGTTTCATTAATCAATTAGAATAAAAATTATTGAAAAATACATAAAAATATATTAATAATTAAATATTTTATTTTTTAACAAAAATATTGTGACAACTAACGCGTGTGTGTATTCAAACTCAAACCCCTCAATTCTTATCATTTTTTTTAATCTAACTGCATTTTTAAAACCTCAAGACAACGGACGAATGAGTACAATTTCTTGTTAATTAAGTACCTATAAACAATTTTTAGTATTATAATAATATTTTAATTGAAACCTATAAATATTTATTATATATTGCTGACAACTAATTATTGTAAATTTTAAATTATAATATAATATAATAAAAATAATTAATTCTAAGTATAAAAGAATTATATTGTTAATTAATTGAAAATTATTTTATGTATAATTATAAAAATAAATATTATAAAAGATCATATAATTTACTATACGTATATGTAATTGAATGATAACGTGTATTTTTTTAATTAAATTTTATATTTTAACATGCTTATTAGAATTTAATTATTGGAATTTATTTACATTGGAATTTTTTCATGTTTGTTATTTAACTATAGATTTCCATATAACTTAAAGAAATTAATTTTGATATATAAATTCTTTTACTTTGTCATCTCAATCAATAAAAAATTAGAAATAATTTTTAGAATAATTATTCAAAATCAACACAATTGACTTACATAATAATTCATGATATTTAATAAATATTGATAGTGTGAATGCATTCTAATTAAATTATAACAAAATTGTTCACAAGTACTTAATTAACAAGAAATTGTTCCCATCTGTTAGTTGTCTTGAAGTTTTAAAAAACGCAGTTACATTCAAAAATGATAAAGAAGAATTGAGTGGTTTTTTTTTTTCGTCCTTAGAGTACTAATCTCCTCGCTACGTTGGAGGCACCTCAAAGAGTGAGATAGTTGGCCCCAAAATTTAACGCGGTTGCATACATAAGGCAGAATTCGAACCTCTGATCTTGCTTAAGCGTGGATCAATTCCTACCTCTGAACCACACGTTTGGGGTTAGAATTGAGTGGTTTGAGTTTGAAAAATACGATATTTTTATTATTAATATATTTTTATGCGTTTTTCAATATTCTTTTTATTCTAAATGATTAATAAATATTAAACATAAAATGTAGCAAATAATTTTTTTTTTTGTATAGTCGTGTACAACTGTGGAATATTAATTACTTGTTCCTATTTGATTTGTATGACGCGTGATAGAAAAATAATGCAACCTTGTTAAACGCATGGTCAACAAGTTTATGTATTTTACAAGGTACCGTTATCGTGAATGCAGCTCATGTGGGTTTAAATGTCGTATTAATTGTCAACAAGTTTATCACAAATCTATCACTTGTTAAAAATTGTTTAGTTTATTTATAAATAAATAAAATGCTAACCAATAGCTACATATGAAAAATCTAGGGATGAAAGGGATAAAATGCAAGAATTTAATAGTTGCATAAAGTAGGTGCACATGAATGATATAGGATTGGAAGAAAAAAAATTAAGAAAAAGAGTTATAGTAACCCTTTTTCTCAATGCACTCCCTTTTATTAATTAAAATTTATTGAGAATCATAAAGTCAAAAGAGTGGATCATTAAATAAAGTGTGTGATCCACTAATTTTTATATTTTTAAATAAATTTTAACTAATTAAAAAGAGTTTGTCTAAAAGAATGTCTTGAAGTAACAATTTTTTTGTTTAAGAATCACATATGAAAAGAGAGATCCTTCTACTATTATATATTCATAGGCATTATAGGAAGAGAAAGTCATACAATACACACACATGTAGATTTAAGCAATTTATATATACTCTTTTATTTGTATTATTTTATTCTAAAGTATTATATACACAACCTTGGTGATCCCGGCCACTTCATCCATCAATATGTGAGTAAGCCTTACCCTGATACTGGTAGCAAATAGAATGCTTAGAGGAGTACTTCAAAATCCACCTAACATCTGAATTGGTTTATTATATAATCTTTGGAAAGTACCATATTGGGATCCTCACCATGGGACCCCCCCAAATTTCATATTTTCCTAAATTTCATATTTCACATTCCATACCAATTATATAACATCAAAAAAGGTATGATTCAACATTTAAAAGTTTCATAGAAACTCAATTATAAAAAGTTTTCCTCGAAGAGACCACACGCCCAGCGTGGTGGTATTTGTGCTCAACGAAACCAAAATTGGGAGCCTACCAAGCTTTGTCTACTTAGCGCATAGACTCGTGCGCCTAACCCATTTCTAAATATGCTTAACATCACTACAAGAAAAATGTAAATTTCTGACGGAAAATTTCTGACGGATATGGATCCGTCAGAAATTTCTGACGGATTTATATTTTCTTCAGAAATTTCCGATGAATTTATATTTTCGTCAAAAATTTCCGACGGAATTTCCCGTCAGAAATTTCCGACGGAAATATAAATCGGTCAAAAATTTCTGACAGAAACTTTCCGATGGAAAATTCCGTCAGAAATTTTCGATGGAAAAATAATTCCATCATAAATTTCTAACGGAAAATTTTCGATGGAATATTCCGTCGGAAATCTTATTTTTAATTATAATCTTTAATTATTATTTTTAATTTATTTTTAATTTCTTTTTTTAATTTCTTATATATATTTGTAGTATTAAAAATTTTATATATCTTTTAAAGGTATAAATATATATTATAATTATTTATTACAAGTTTTAAAAAAAGAAAACAGAAATCATAAGTGGACTGTTTGATCATATTGAGTCCTTAAGCTGTTAAAACGGGCCGTCCGCACGGCCTAGCCCAACTTTTTACATGGGCCATCTTTTTGCTGTGTAATTTTTGTATGAGCCATCTTTTTTATATGTAGCAATATTTTAAAAGAATGTGTCTTCTTTACGGCTTTTATGTGTCATTTTCTTCTACGTTTTTATTTTTATTTATGATATATATATATAACATTATATAAAGGGGATACAAACGTTTGTAACTACCATTTGGTATATAAAGGTTAGCACATATAAAACCAACCATAATACATATAAATGAAATATCCTCAAAACTAGATATTTATCATAGATATTGTCCATACCAAAAAAATGACAACACATTTACGTGTCCATCTCCATGCCAAATAAATAAATCCAAAATCCAATGTATACACATCCATACCAATGCATACATAAGCCATAATACTAAAGAATCCATAACCAATGTATACAATCCATACCAAATGCATACATATTCCATATCCAAACCAAAGTCACACCACTATATAATCCCATGAAGAAACCAACACATCCAAACCAAATGTTGGCCTCAACATATCCAAACCAAGTGTTGAGTTTGTGAACATGTCACTTGCCTATGTCACACACCTAACCTCTCATGGAAAATATAAAGTTGAATTACGTCGTCACGTAACCTTGGTGATCCCGGCCACTTCATCCATCAATATGTGAGTAAGCCTTACCCTGATACTGGTAGCAAATAGAATGCTTAGAGGAGTACTTCAAAATCCACCTAACATCTGAATTGGTTTATTATATAATCTTTGGAAAGTACCATATTGGGATCCTCACCATGGGACCCATATATATATATACTACAAAGGAAAACACAATAATAAGGTAGAAATGTGTTTATTGAAATTTTTTCACAATCTTTAAAATAAGATTTTTGAGATATTTGAAGAAATTCAATTTATTTATAAAACTATTTTGAATTTAAATTTAAAATTTTATTTTATTAATTTAATGTTTTTAAAGTCTAATTAATCAATTTTAATGAAATATAATAATCTAATTATTGTAGTTTTAATT